CCTTCCTTCCTTCCTTCCTTCCTTCCTTCCTTCCTTTCTTCCCTTCTCCTTTCTTTTCTTTCAACAAAACTGGACAGGCAGATGTTTGGTTTATGTCCTTCCTTCTTTCTTTCCTTTCTTTCTTTCTTCCATTCCTTTCTTCCTTCCTTCCTTCCTTCCTCTTTCTTTTCTTTCAACAAAGGCGGGCAGCAGCTATTTGGTTTATGTCCGTCCTTCTTTCTTTCTTCCTTTCTCTCTTCCTTTCCCCTTTCTTTTCTTTCCCCTCTCTCTCCTCTCTTTCCTTCCATCTACCATTCCTACCTGGTTGCAGCCTTGAAATGGAATAGAGAAATATGGCAGGATCTCCATTGCAAAAGCTCTTGGGCACCAGGTGGATGACATTGGTACAATACTAGATCAACCTCCCTCCTTTCTAACTAGATAAGACTTTTTTTTTCCCTTTGGCCTTTACATTTTTCTAGTTAATGGAAAACAAAAAAGGAAGGTGAGAGATAAACCCAAAACTATCCCGTCACATTTCTGTCTTTGGAAAACTGACACGGCCTTGGAATAACGAGAGTTGCAAGGGACCTTAGAGGTCTCCTAGTCCAACCCCCTATTCAAGCAGGAAACTACACCATTGCAAACCAATGATTGTCTAGTCTCTTTTTAAAAATCTCCAGTGTTGGAGCATCCACAACTTCCGGGGGCAAATCCTTTCACTGATTAATTGTCCTCGCTATCCGGAAGTTCCTCCTTAATTCCAGGTTGCACATCTCCTTATCCAAGAGGAACAGTAACAGGAAAGAGTTGGACGGGACCTGGGAGGTCTTCTAGTCCAACCCAAACAGGAGATCCTGTACTACTTTAGACAAACATTTGTCTAGTCTCCTTAAAAGCCTCCAGCAATGAAGCACACACAATTTCTGGTGGCAAGCAGTTCCACTGGTTAATTGTTCTCACTTTTAGGAAGTTTCTCCTTAATTTCAGGTTGCTTCTCTCCTTGATTAGTTTCCACCCCTTGCTTCTTGTCCTGCCTTCAGGGGTATTTGGAGAATAGCTTGACTCCCTCTTCTTTGGGGCAGCCCCCCCAAATATTGGAAGGCTGTTATCATGTCCCCCCAGTCCTTCTTTTCATCAAACTATTCCTGCAACCATTCTTCATTATATTTTTGCCTTCCTCCCTCTAAGCATCTTGGCTGCTCTTTTTTGCACTCTTATTTTATTTTATTTATTTATTTAAATTTGTCAATCACTTACAAGATAATAGGTATAAGTAAAAACATCGTTATGAATACAGGGGTACATATAAGAAAGATAAAAAAATATCTAAAAGAAACAATAGGACAAGGACTGTAGGCACAATCGTTTACAAGATACATGTATAAGAATAAATATAGTTTTGAATACGTGAGATAGATACTTATAAGAAAAATAAAAGAAACAACAGGACAGGGACGGTAGGCACGTGGGTGCACTTATGCACGTCCCCTACAGACCTCTTAGGAAAGGGGTGAGGTCAATAGTAGACAGTCTAAGGTTAAAGTTTTGGGGGGTTTGGGGAAGAAACCACAGAGTCAGGTAGAGGATTCCAGACATTGACCACTCTGTTGCTGAAGTCGTATTTCCTGCAATCAAGTTTGGTGCGGTTAACCTTGAGTGTGTATCTATTGTTTACTCTTGTGTTGTTAGGGTTGAAGCTGAAGTACTCACTGACAGGTAGGACATTGCAATGTATGATTTTATATACTATACTTAGATCGGACTGAAGGCGGCGTAGTTCTAGCTTTTCTAGGTCTAGAATTTCAAGTCTGGTGGCATAAGGTCTTCTGCATTGAGTAGAGGAGTGGAGAACTCTTCTTGTGAAATTTAAAGATGCTTTCCCCTCCTCTTTCTTCTTTCTGCCTTCCCGGGCCTGTTTTTCAAGCCCTTCCCCTCCCTTGTCCAGCCTTTCCCCTCCCTCTCTCCTCCCAGTTCAATCCACGCTCCCTTCTTTGCACAAACGGTTTTCCTCTCTCAGTGCCGCTGCTTCTGCGAGAGAGTAAACCTTGGCCGGGTCCCAAAAACCTCCACAGCAAAGAAAGGGAAGCTGGACAGGAGCTAAAAATATATTTTAAAAAAGCATCTCAGCCGCTTGGAAGAATCTTGGCGGTTACATCTGTTGGAGGCTCTGGAATGCAAAGCGCTGGGGGGAGCCAGAGGTCAGCCGGAGGTTCCTCTTCTCCCACTGAAAGATAAACATGGCCAATAACGGGCAGATCCTTCCCAGCTCCCCTGGAGCAGGGCCAGGCCCGGCGAAGTCAGAAGTATTCGCCGATGACGCAAAAGTCTATTTGGGGAGACAAGCCACGATGCCGCCGGTCAGGAGTCTGTTCAGATGGGAGCTATTAAGATCGGGAAAAGGGTTGGAGAAGCAAAGGCCGGTGGCACCGAGCAGATTTGCTCTCCTGAATTGAACATGCAAAGCCAAAGAGGACAGCCTGATAACTTCCCCACCCACCCTTAAAAAAAAAAGAAACCTTGGAACATTGTTGAGTTTTTTTTGTTTTGTTTTCAGTCTTACGCTGTTGTGCAGGCAGATGGGCAGCAAGGAGAGAGAGGAGGGAAGGGGGGAAGGAGAAAGGAAGGAAGGAAAAAGAAAAAGAAAGTAAGGAAAGAAAGAAAAGAAAGAAAGAAAGAAAGAAAGAGAGAGAGAGAAAGAAAGAAAGAAAGAAAGAAAGAAAGAAAGAAAGAAAGAAAGAAAGAAAGAAAGAAAGAAAGAGAAAGAGGGAGGGGAAAAAGGAAGAAAAAGAAGAGAAAGGAAGGAA